ATACATCTCCATTTCGTTTTAGGCATTTGATAGAAATTAAATTCAATCTATACGTGAAGGAATGTTTTTTGACATAATATTGAACGCGAATGACCTAAATAACAATACTAATTGCCATCATATGACTTCGTGATGAACCTTTAAAATAAATAAGATATTTCGTAGAAACAATGTCAAGTTAAATTTTATTCTGATAAATGCTTCGTCGCTCGTTCTCATTATTTCGCAGCGTTCCGTATATGAGCCTCTTCAAACCGGACTTATTGCTATTGATTCGATGATCCCTATAGGATGTTAATTTATTAATAAACTCTATAAATTAAGATGATAAAAAGAGAATAAAACAAAGAGTACATCGATCGAATCAAAACTTACCATTGAAACACTTTCTTTTTGTTTTTCATCATCGTGTACCTATATTTGACAACTAAAAGGATAAGAAAGAGGAAAAAAATAATCTATTTTGTCATTTTTGAATTAAGAGATGAGTGTGTTTGGTAGAGATTAAAATCAGATAAAAATTTAAAAATTAGCCGTTATTGTACTTTATTAGACGAGTGAGACCCAATAACGACCATATTTTCAATTTTAATTGGATTTTAATTCTTCCCAAATATATTATTTAGACAAATTGATTAAGTTAAGCATTATGCTAAAGACAAAAATATTAATAAAGATTGAGATATGCATTTATCGTACGTCGATATTATATTTAGAACATTGTAATGAACACTGAATAATACTTTAGCCCTTGTCAGTAAGGATTAAAATTTAGATTTTAATCTAAATCAAAGTCAACAATTATTTTTAACCACATATTTCATAGGACTCACAACTTTTCATCTACACATTTCATCAACTTTTATCAAAATTTACTAAAAAATTGTGCCAAACAAGACTTAGTCTATTTTATTTTATTCTTTAGTACTATCTAACAAGTTAATTGACCTAGTTTAGGCAATTTGCACACGTAAATGGACCATTATTACTTAGTATTGAATTTGTGTTCTAAGAGTTTATACGAATAATTTAATTTTATCTCATTGTTTTGTTTATCGCGTTGAAGTAGAAACTATCGTATGTGTACACGGAGTCTGTATCTAAACTATATAAGTTATTATCTATATCTATTAGTAGATTTGTCGATGTAATTTTTATGTATAGAATGTCACAATTGGAGAAATGTCATAATTTATATAGGTGCACTCAATCAATTCAACTTTAAAAAAGTCATACTAATGTGAAATAGAAATGACGGGCTGGCCAACCTGCTTTTATTTTGTGTACACAACTCTGAATAATAAATGCTTAATTAATGTCCCATATTGTAGGTAAAGCTATCAATATTTTTAAAATGTGGTAGCACAGGAGCATAGCTCAGTAGTGCAAGGATAAAAGTGAGGTAATCTCAATTGAGCTGGCAGCCGTAGTGTGAGAGTTCGATTCCTACTTCTTACAAGATATGTAATTTGACTCTTTGTGGACACTAGTATGATAGCTCTTATACCCTGACCTACTGAGGCATATCTCGCGATTTACATCATTCACGATACTCTAGGGATGGAGCCCTCAAGGTTGGGGTTCAACCTTTAAAATGTGGTAATTTGTGATGATCGTGTGTGAAAGTGCTCTCCTTGGAGTTTTTGAAATTTGGCCATATTTGCGAAAGTTTCTAAACTTTTATAGGGTATTTTGGTCTATTTGCAAATATTTTTTAAAGTGGCCATTTTTCAAAATGTACCCTTAAATATGGATACTTAAATATTGAAAAGATTTTTTCCTCGGATGGGTTGGAGTAGTCGGACAATTGTTGAACAGCTCGTATAAAAGTTAAATTGTAACACCGATAAAGTATTTGTTTAGTTAGATCTTTAACACGTAATCAATTACAAAAGGATACTCCTGATTATAAAATTTAAATAAAAAAATTATTATAATTTTATACTAAATTCTTTATACGATCTAATCGATGTGACAAATATAAGTAAATGGATTCGTGAGCAAACAATAACAACAAATCATAGCATTATTTGGTCATAATCAGAGTTTGGCATTAAAGATTCCACTTTGCATTGCCATTTGGCATCAACAATTCTTTATTTTAACTTTTATGCATACAAAATGAGAAAATCGAACTAACACACACACATTAATGCCCCAATTTAGTAGGGATTAAAATCAGATTTTTATAAAATTTTAATAAAAGTTAATGAGATGTGTGATTAAAATTAATTTTAACTTTGACTTACATTAGAATATTTATTTTAATTTTTACCAAAGATGTATCACCTTTAATTATTGTTAATTAAATACTATTGATAAGCAGTAATAAATCAATTTCATTTAAAACACTAATATTATATTAATTAACAATTAAAGAAAAAATGAGCAGACATGTGAGTCAAGAAAGACGGTCTGGTCCTTCACAAAAATAATTTTCCCGTAGGAAAGTATTCAAGAAATTACTGCTTTGCTTGCGTGTACCTCCTGCAATTTGGGTCGTTACCCACCTCACTAGCCACCACCCTACCCACCCAGCCCCCACACACCTGTGTATGTATAGGTGTGTATATATATAGATACCCATTTTGCTCTGATCGATTATCCATAGTTGTTTATCTGTGTCACTGCTCTCAGTATTCAACTCTTGGCATTCAACAGGTATCCACTATTTAGCATTCACACACATACATAAACGCATGCAAATTTCTTGGGAGCTTAGATTCGTGCAGATTTCCTCACTCGTGTTATAGTCCCAGTTGATTGTATCTAATATCCTGGATCGTTGATTCGTATTTGAATATATTGGGTCGTTTTACATGTTAGATCTATATATATGTATTTCGTCTATACATGTAGAAAAAAGTAAGGAAGATTAGACAAAAATAGAATAAAATCCTAGGATGATCTTTTCTAATCTTTATTAAAAACTGCTTTGTTGTTGCCTCATCTTTGTTGGGTTAGAATACCTTTACGTAATGTTTAATTTTTTTGTTGAACAACTTGGTACCTATTTTGTTTTCATTTTTTTTACTGAGATTTTTGGTTGTAGAGAAGAAAGTTGGGTCCGTAAGTATTGTTGATCAAAATAGAACTAATTTTGCCTAACCTCACGCTTATTATGTGAAACTAGTAGAGAGCAAATACTTTGAAAAATTATAGGGTCCACTGTACATCATGTTTTCTGTGTACTATTCTATATTTCCATCAATATAATTTTGCGCTTAAATTTGGTGGGATTTGTGTAAACAGGACAAATCTGCATATACTATCCTCATCATGGCTCCAGCAGCAGCAGGGGATTCGATTAACCCAAGGGGTATTATTTTTTTCTTTGTTTAATTTCTATTTTTGTGCACTGTTATTTGTATTTTAATGTGTGTGTTCATTCTAATCTGTTGTTTCAAATCTTGGTGATTCGGGGATTAGTATATGATGTTTGAGTTCATTGATAAATCTTATGTGATTATTGGTTATGAGTTACTATGTTTTCCTTGGAAAAACTTTTTTCAGAAAAAAATCTATGAAGATTATAAGGAAAAGTTATTTGAAAAATCTTATTTAATATAAGACATGCCATATGTCCTATATTATTGTACATTTTCTATTATAAAATGTTCTATTCATTGTGTACTTATGTGGGTATATTCAATTTCATATTTTCCAACATTTCCTTGGATAGATCACTTAGTTATATATATACGTGTAGTCGTTCTCATAAACTTGTATGCTTCCATTTTAATAGATGTTTGCATTGTTGGCATTGCCCGTACTCCAATGGGTGGCTTTCTTGGCTCTCTTTCTTCAATATCAGCAACCAAGCTCGGATCAATAGCCATTGAGAGTAAGATTATAGCCTTAAATTTTGTCTTTTTAATGGAAAAGTACTCATTCTAACATTAGTTGTTGTAAGTATTTTAATTATGCTTTTTTGGAATTCCAACTTTTAGGTGCTCTTAAGAGAGCAAGCATTGATCCATCACTAGTCCAAGAAGTGTTTTTTGGAAATGTACTCAGTGCAAATTTGGGACAGGCCCCTGCCAGGCAGGCGGCATTAGGTGCAGGGATACCCAATACAGTGGTCTGCACTACTGTGAACAAAGTCTGTGCATCGGGGATGAAAGGTACGGCACTTGTAAATATAAATTGTGGTTTCCCTTTTAGAAAAGGGGATTCCAGTGTAAAATAAATAGGAGGGCTTCTGTTTGTAATATTGTATATTTTGTTTTGGCCATTGCAGCAACTATGCTTGCGGCACAAAGTATCCAGTTGGGCATTAATGATGTTGTTGTGTCTGGTGGCATGGAAAGCATGTCCAATGTACCTAAATACCTGGCAGAAGCAAGGTTGGTGCTCTAAAATGAGGAACATTTTTTTTCTTACTGTTCATCTAATTTCTGTTAATCGAGTTTCCTGCTCTTTCTATACCTTCAAAAGCATTATTTAAAAATCAACAAATAATGATGGATGCAAGAAATGACAATTGATACTGTCATGCATCCTAAGACAGCTTGTTCAAGTTCCTGGGTTGTGAAATTATCATATACTTAAAAGAAGGATCAAGGATCCAAAGCCATATCTTTTTCGATGTCAAGGGTCAGGAACTGGTACATGAGCCTCACTGGAAGGGTCCTATAACATAGCACGGATTCATGCTGAATAAATTGAAGCAGACTCTGGGTTTCTCGTCTGCGCTAAAAATATTTATTTTGTGCTTCACCTCGCTGAAGCTGGCCGAAACAAAGTTTCTCTCATACTGTAATTTTTAGCTCCCACCTTATGTGATGATTTGCTCTTAGCCTCTTGCCCTACTATGGATTTTTCAAACTTTTAGTATAATTAATTAAGCTTTATGATTTTTATTTGAGCTACTTAGCCTGTAGTGTACCATGATACAATCTCTTGCATCAATAGTCAAACTTCAATCTCTTACCTCTACCTCTGTGAACATATTGAATGTTAGACAAGATTATAATAATGATGGGATGGTGAAACTGTGCATGCACATTATACTTCTCATGTTTATCATTGTTGAACACACGGAGCACAAATATCCATCAACTAGTATGCTGATATAAGAATGTAGTTTAGTGTAATTGTGCTGAATCTCGATCTACTACAGGAAGGGATCCCGACTTGGACATGATTCTCTTGTTGATGGAATGTTGAAAGATGGCCTTTGGGATGTTTATAATGATTATGGCATGGGAGTTTGTGCTGAGTTATGTGCCGAAGAACATGGAGTTACCAGAGAGGAGCAGGTTTGTCTTTAATGACACCTTCTAGTTTTCACTAAAACAGTTGCCCTTAAAGTCCCATCAACCTTCGTTTGTGATTTTTTATTTCCATTTTACTTCTATTCGGTCATAATTTCTATTGTAGCAAAACTTTATCATCTCACATCTTATTATCTAAATGACTGATTCCATTTTTCCCGAGTTCTTGGGTATGCTTCGGAAGACTGGAGTTTGTGACTATCATATTTAAAAAACTAATCATTTCAAGGAAAGAGAAAATCTCTCTTCGAATTTCTTTGTTCACTGTTCGCCATTCCCATTCCCATTCTTTTGATTTTAATTTCTATCAATCTGTCTCAAAATCTCTTGTTTATATGAGTAGAAATTCTTAATTGTATCTGAATCACTTATGCAGGATAATTATGCCATTCAAAGCTTTGAACGTGGCATTGCTGCTCAGAATGCTGATGCTTTTAAATGGGAGATTGCTCCAGTATGATCACTAGAGATTAAATATTCGTACTTGATGTAGCTCACGCAGTTTATTGTGGATCACAATCTAAATATTATTATGGTATCATGCAGGTTGAAGTATCTGGAGGAAGAGGAAAACCATCTACAATTGTTGACAAGGATGAAGGTCTAGGAAAGGTGAATATCCCCTCTGCTATTTTATATGAATACATATCTCTTATTACAATGCTGGTTTCTCTCCCTAAATTGTTTCCCTGTAATGTGTCTTAATTGTTGGCCAAAATATTTATTTTATGAGAAAGAGTGCAAATTTTTATCGCTTAAATCTCATTGAACTTGTGTGAGGAAAAAATAATTATGCATATGGTCAAAGAAATGTTCTTCTCTCCCCTATGCTCTATTGATTTGGAAAAGCATTATTAGGGCCCTGTTTGATGGCCATTATTTGGCAAAAACAATGTTTTGAATAGTGGATTTTTGGAGAATGTGTAGTTAAAAAATGTGAAAAGTTTTGGGTTTACTTGTAGAATATTTGATTGTGTGAATGTGTGGTTGAAAATGAGTACGCAGAAAAAAGTTTTGAAATAAAGCCCATCAAACAAAGATTATTATTTCCTGTAATGGTCCTGTTTATGCATCCAAATCTACCCTGGATCAGAAGATGACATGTAATCAACTAGCATAATTTATGCATATATTTAGTCAGTTGGCAACTTGGCATCACCTGCCTCATTGCGCTGAAGCTACTATCATCTTTGTTGTTGTTGCTACTGAATCCTTCTCTTTATGGTCAGTTTGATGCTGCAAAATTGAAGAAGCTTCGACCAAGTTTCAAGGAAACTGGTGGTACTGTGACAGCTGGCAATGCTTCTAGCATAAGGTTTATTTCCTTTATTTTTCTTTCATTCTTACGGTTAGATTCTACTATTTTAAGTGCCAAAAGGCCATGTCAAAACAAATATGTTGAGATCACTAAATGCGTTCTATGGTAAAGTACCAAGTTGCAGAACTAGATCTAATGAGAGTTGGATCCTCGTAAAGAAGATACTGTACATTCATGGAACATTTTCTAGAATTTCATGAGAAACCCCACTCATTTCTGTTATACAATAGGAAATACTAAATTATTCTGCCCTTGTCGTCGTATCAAAATGCTTATAAATTCTAATTCTCCTTGATTTTCATGCTATCTTATACATTGACTAAATTTCTCTTGTAGTTTAGGAGGAAATGAAATTTAAAATATTCTGAGTTCAGGATAGAACTAATGCCTCTTTTACCCTGTGCTTGCACTTCCATAATTGTGTCTGTAACTGCTTTGTGTGCTGGAGTAGAATGGTGAAGATTGAAATTCAGTTTATTGTTATTTACCGAGTTTGATCTCATTTTCAGTGATGGTGCTGCTGCTCTGGTCTTAGTGAGTGGAGAGAAGGCTCTTAAGCTTGGTCTGCAAGTGATTGCAAAGATCACAGGATATGCTGATGCTGCTAAGGTAATGTGCATACATATCTGGAGATCTCAGCAAGTAGTTTGGTTTGGTTGGTTCTACCTTGAACATGAAAACATGAAGGAATCAGAGGATGAAATTTTCTTTACTTTCATTTCTACTTCAAATATGACTAATAGTTGAGTTTACGATTTTAATGTTGACTGGAACACACTGTGCAGGCACCTGAATTATTTACAACTGCCCCAGCCCTCGCAATTCCGAAAGCTATATCAAACGCTGGTCTAGAAGCTTCTCAAATTGATTTCTATGAAATCAACGAGGCTTTCGCGGTATGCCCCTTCAACCGTAGTCCTTTTAAAGCAGCAAGCAATTAGTTTGTTAATTACGAGTTGGTTATATTGAACACATGGAACATGCAGGTTGTGGCTCTTGCAAACCAAAAGCTGCTGGGACTTGATCCAGTGAGTTCTACAGCTTCAATCCATCCCCCACCCCTCCCAACCACCACCACCATCACCTCACACACAAGCACCTGCTTGTGCACGTGAAATTCTGCTAATCTATTTACTCTTATAATGATTAGACCTCATTATGTTCTTATATTCCTGGTATCAATTTGCAGGAGAAAGTCAATGTACACGGAGGAGCTGTATCCCTGGGGCATCCTCTTGGTTGCAGTGGAGCACGTATCTTGGTCTCACTTTTGGGGGTATGTTCTGAAATTCGCTGGAATGCAAATGTGATGTTACTTAAAACTAAATGCTTGGTCATGGGGAGATATCAACTCCCAAATGTGGCAATAATTAGGGAATGGAAATGTATAGTTCTGTCTGAGTTCAGTTGGAACTTAGGATTTGATACTTTGATTTGATGATTAATTTTCCTTGGTACCGATTCGTATGCCATTTCTTCCATTAACGATCCAATTGTGTGGTAGGTATTGAAGCAGAAGAATGGGAAATACGGAGTTGGTGGTGTTTGCAATGGAGGAGGAGGTGCTTCTGCGCTTGTTGTACAGCTCGTGTAACCTTCTTCAGTTTAGGTAAGCATCAAGTTAACACAAGTCCTTTTAAGGAATACATCGTGCATGTAGTGCTCATGGTTCCATTGTATCATGTCATAGCGTAAGAAATGGTGTTGCATGCTAAAGGGAAAGGGATGTGGAGCTGTACTAACGCATTTTGTCCCCCAATGAACAGAGATACTGAACTAGAAACGTACCATCTTGGTTGATAAAAAGTGAACCTGACTAGCGCATTTGAGTGGATGTGTGGAAACAAAATGTCTATTAATAAACATGTCTCGTTTCGCACAGCTTAAGCTTGTAGATTAGATGCTGTAATTGGGCCGTTATATTCATTTCCGGGGTCTGGAGTATGTCTAACTGGTAATCTGTATCTGTTGCAGCTATTTTCGAGAGTGGACCATACATCTGAAGTAGATTATCACTGTTGGCAGCTACATTCACGAGAATAGACATCATCGCGAGTGGATTATCAGCACCATCTTCAAATTTAGATTGTTGCACAATTTTCAATCTATATTATCTGTCCATTTTATCTTCTCTTTTCTTTCTTCCTTTTTTTTTTCCATACCAATAAATGAAAATGTATTGCTATTGAGATAGTAGAAGTGACTAATTTCTTTATTATTCTTGATTAAGTTGTGTTCTTTCCTAAATGCTCTTTTTTGGGTTGTTTCCGTTCTTGTTTATTTCTCTTTGAGGGTAAGGAACGTGTGATATGGTTATTTTCTCTACTACTATTTAGCTTCTTTTTTTTTTTTAATCGGTAACTACTATTTAGCTTTGCTTTTACTGGAAGTTGGAAATTATGGCTTCGACATTTTCTTCAACACATTTAAGTTAATCGGCCGCGACTTATGTCTGGCTTTAAGTTGTTATAGTTGATGTTGCTTCTGTTCTTTAAGGTGTCAAAAGTGGTGGTTGTCAAAATCGTACACAAGATTTTCATCTCATATGGCTCCTTATTCAATTTTGTCAAACTCATTGGATCATTTTCTGCATCGGAGAATTCCCGCCCTTCTTCCACTTTGTTTCAAAGAGTAATTGAGGTCATTTAGTCACGTTTTCATGTTCCAATTGGACACTTCATTTTTCATCATATTTTCAAAAGGACCGATGAATGTCTTCTACGAGTTGTGTTAGATCTTTTTTTATCAGGAAATTTTTGGGGTCGTGATTCTCCATCCCTAGATTGGCCACTCTACTCCGACATTACGTGTGTCTTAACTATCATTATTCATTGACATCCAAGTGTTGTAACCATGAAGGTGTGTATTTCATTGAGATAACAAGAACGCAAGACTCCAAAGATATTTACTAGGGGAATTTAGGCAAATTGCACAAGGGGACAAAAACGAATTTTAGGACTATCTTGTCCATTTTTTGTGAGCATTTTGCCCTATATTTTCATATATTGTATGGCAAATTCCTTAGTACCAACAAACAATTTTATCAATCAAGCTGAACCTTGAGTTAAACAAACATAATTACGGACGAATTGGACAAAAACATGAGCTCTACCATAATATAGCAATTTGACTCTAAGTCGAGCCGCATGAATAAAAAGTTCAACTTAACCGAGTAGAGAATACTTGAACTAAACATAATTTTTTTTACCTTTAACTAATTCAATCTTGATCGATCTAATTCGATTTATGCAAATGTTTATACATCTAAATTAAGCTTGTTTGGTGCACCTCGATGTTCTATTGAACCCACAATACATGTGCACGAATAATTGAAGTTTTCAGATACAGTCTGGTTCGGTTTTGTTAAAAATTAATTTTTAGTAAATTTTAATAAAAATTGTGAATCTGAAAATATATTTAGAATTTTTTTTTTAAGAAAGAATGAGGTGAGGCAAAATTTGTTGAAAACTAACAAATCCTAAATTGAAAATTCTCCACTGCTCACTCACAATCCATACTTTGTTTGTCTTTCAGCAAGAATTATGATAGCTAGTAGTAGCAATTTCATATCCTGCAATTTCTCGTTTCTGAGAATTTCAAACAAATCTTGTTCAAGAAGGATAACCCCATTATCATCATCATTTGTTAAACCGTATGTTTTTCAAAGAGCCTCCAAATTTTCAGCTTTTTTGAACAATTACGAGGAGAAGAAGAAGAAGGGTCTTCTCCAAATATGTCAGAATGCATTCTACGTAAGGACTACTACACAGGACCCTGTACCTGTTCCTTTGAAGGAAAATGGTGGTCGGAGTGGTGGTAGTGGCGGCGATGGTGGTGGTGATGGTGGTGGAGAAGAGAGGGACTGGACGTCGTCGTTTTTGCTTTTTGCTTTCTGGGCTGGACTCATGTACTACGTTTTCTTCCTCACACCCAACCAGACTCCGGTATGTATTATTCTCCTCTTATCGTAATTCTTCAACTCTGTTCTTTATTTTACCCTCACTTTTCAGTATTTTTAATGCCAAATTCCTTATATGTTCTGATTTTATTTTGTGTTTTTTATTCCATGAATCTTCTTGTGTAAATTATGTTCTAGATACTCTAGCTACTTGTTCCCATTGCTGTAATTTTGTGAAAAAAATGGAAATGCCAACCTCAAAAGGAGGGGAAAAGAAACTCTATATACACTTTACTTGATTGAATCACATCCCTAAAACCAAATCACAGTGTTTAGGCATTGTCACGTCCATAAGAATTCCTAGTTACTGAAGCATTCACAATTATTATTTGTGGGGAGTGACAATATCAAAAACCGGTGGGATGACAGTGGTTGCATGACAATTTTTTGCTCTAAGGTCTGATGATTTGGGGGTACTACGACATATCTAGTTTATGATCCTTTGATCTTTAAGCCAAATTTCTGTATTTAACGAGCCCAAGTGCCCGAGCATGGTACTTGCTTCCACACGAAAATGAGGATTCGGTGGTTCCTGAGTGGACATCTTATTCATTTGGTGCATATTAGCTACCATGTATTGGACGAACATTTTAGCTTCTCCAAATCCGAAGAAGGGAAAGTTTCCCACGTTTCATCCTTTATATTCCGTTCTTCCATCTTCGAGTCTCACCAGGGAAAGGGATAAGATTGCCATGAAAAGAGCCGTATGCCCATGCTGAATATACTTATTAATTAGACTAAAGTGTTCTTTATAATCTTTTAAGTACCTCTCTGATTTAATTTTCATCATTTTGGTTTTCTAAGTTTACAATGCTCTGATTTTGAACCTCTGTAGTCATTGGACATGTATTTCTTGGAAAAACTCCTCAATTTGAAAGGAGACGATGGCTTCCAAATGAATGAAGTGATTGTGGCTCTTTGGTACATCATGGGTTTATGGCCTTTGGTATACAGTATGCTGCTTCTTCCAACTGGTAGAAGGTAACTTGCTTCTATTCCTTCATTCTTTTCACTAGAACTACAAAACGGTATTTGTCTTCTAATTGGAGAAATGAGTTCAGAATATTGGAATCATTCCATTGCGTCCAATTTTCTTTGATCACGTGCAATGTGGGTTTTCAACGTGGTTCGTGGTTTGCAGCATAGTCAGGCATGGGATTCATATCATACAAAAGCTGTGATGAGAACTTGGGAAAATGTATTCCTTCCAAATTTTCAACAAATTTCTAGGAAGTTTTTCTGATCTTAGATTTCTTCATTTTGCAGTTCAAAGGGAAAAATTCCTGTTTGGCCATTTCTTATACTTTCATGCTTTGGTGGCGCGTATGCTCTTATTCCCTATTTTGTTCTCTGGAGACCACCGGCTCCACCTGTCGAAGAAACTGAGCTGAGAAGTTGGCCTCTAAATTTTCTGGAATCAAAATTAACTGCAGGGGTAGGGTGTATATTCATTATACTAGATATGAATGCGTTTTCCTTTATATGTTTGGGAAATGTAAACTAACAAATTACACATTAGATTACAATGGCTGCAGGGCTAGCTATAATCATTTATGCTGGTTTATCTGGCGTTGATGCGTGGAAGGAATATTTACAGTACTTCAGAGGAAGCAAATTTGTGAGTATTTCTATTCTTGGTAGATGTTATGAATATGAAAAGAATTGATGACAATAAACCCCCCACTACCCCCACCTTTAAAAGAGAATGAAGAAGAGAGGGAGGAGACAAGCTTATGGAGATTCTTTTGATTTCAGATACATCTCACCTCTATCGATTTTAGCCTACTATCAGCATTCGCTCCTTTCTGGGTCTACAATGACATGACTGCTCGAAAATGGTGAGATTCGAGTCACCAGTTTTTTCTTTATTGAATAGAATTATACAAAGATAAAAGTTAATAGAATGTGTTATCTTGTAGGGAAGGAAAAGGCTATTGGCTTCTTCCCTTGTCACTGATTCCATTATTGGGTCCTTCTCTCTATCTTCTCCTACGGCCATCGCTATCAGCAGCTCCAGTTTCACGAAGCCCAACAATATTAGACGATAAATGATATAAAGAATCTGCACGTCCGGAATCACTTCTACACATACAAAGAAACAAATACAATACAATTTGCACGTGTTAAAAGATCTGATCTAGTTATTCAAGAGGGGCAAACCAGGGAAGATGGGTTGTCCAGAAGCTCAAGGTTCACCAGAGTACAATTGTCATCTTAAAAATGGCAGGTCTTGTGTTGTTTTATATTCAAATGATTTTACTCTAATAGAATGGCCAAATATCAAAGAGGCCTTCCTAGTTCTGAAAGTTCACTTTTTTCCTTAAGCAAATAAATTTAGCAAGCAAAGCAATAGAGCCATCTGTTAAATTAACATATACATCCATAAAGGAATTAATGTGAAATTTTCTATTGCCTCCTAATACATCACATATTCAATTGTAGGATGCTGGGACTACTCAAAACCATTAAAAATTCATTATCAACGTTTTCATGTTAGCATCTTGGAACTTTGAGGGGTTGCTTAATTGGTCGGCCTTGAGTTTGTTTCCTCATGGTTACCAGTTCGAGTCTCCTCATGGCCACTGAGGTGAATACCTGAACGTAAAATTCAGGGTCCCGTGGGATTAGTCGAGGTGCGCTCAAGTTGGCCCGAACATTCGGGTTATCAAAAAAAAAAAAAAATTAGCATCTTGGAACTTTAAGGGGTTGCTCAATTGGTCAGGTCTTGGGTTTGCTCCTCATTGATCACCAGTTCGAGTTCCCTCAGAGCCACTGAGGTGAGTACCCGATCGTAAAATTCAGGGTCTCGTGGGATTAGTCGAGGTGCACGCAAGCTGGTCCGGACATCCACGGTTATTAAAAAAAATTGTTAGCATCTTGGAAAGGTAGGAGGTACTGAGGTAGGAGCGACATATCCTGCAAAAATTGACATACTGCATACTCGTCTTACAATCATGCAAATAACAATCAACAGCACTGTCAAGATTTATAAATTGTATTATTATGGTCTTGTTAATATTACAATGTAGAAGACCCTAGTTATAGGGTTACAAATAACTGTAGAAGGAAATAAAGATAAAATGAAAGATTACATAATCAACTACTAAGGAAAGTAAACCTACACTAAAAGGAAAGTAAATATAATCTCAATTTTTGACGATCTCTGTAATCTTATTCAATATCCTTGACATCTCCCCTCAAATTGATGCTGGTAAAAGCATCAATTTGCAATCATGAACTGACAATGATGACGATACTTGTGCCCACGAAGAAGAAATCCAAATCAAAGCAACCAACGACGAAAATGACTGACAACGAGAGACCAAGAACAATAAAGAACTACTCTAAAAACACTCCAAGAATGCTCTAAAGGAACAATGAGAAACCACCGAAGAAGAGTCACACGTTGACAAAATCAGTCAATCGTGGACGACCAGAAGAAACCCACACCTGAAAGGTTGAGTTGTGACCAAAGAGAATCGAAGATTCAACCACTCCAAAGAAACGACGAGAAACTACGAGAACCCACACTCCCCAAGAAGAATTTCCAAAAAAAATTCACGACGTGCGCCGACACACACAGTGAGCTCTATCTGTCGGGAGAACTAAGTTGAACACATAATTCGTGTTCTGACAAAAGCTCTAACGCCAAAACACCGGCCAAAAATCCAAAACCACATAACGATCCACACAACGATTTTTTTTTTCAGACCTAAAATAAGAATCCCAAAATTCCATAACCTAAAACTATAGCAAGTCTCAAAAAAACCAAAATAATAGCCCAAACAAAGAACCCAAGTTCCTAATTTTGAAACCAAGCACTTCCAGGCCCAATTAAAACTATTAATCCAGGCCCATATCTATCAAACACCAACCCAAAACTTGGCCCAATGACTTCAAACCAAAAAATATAGGCCCACTTCAAAGAAACCACCGCAACCCACACGCAGCGCCTCAGTTCTCACACAGAGCTCACGCCACACGTCGAGGCCGAACCCACAGCCAAACCCCCACACAGCCTCAAAGATTTCAATCCCCGGATACTCAACTCGCCGTCGATCACACACAGAGATGGAGCCGCCAATAACCACAGCCTGATCTCCACTGATTGCACACACAGCAACACCGCCCACAAAGAAGCCGCACTCACAGAAACGCCGGAGAATCTCAGATTCAACTCCAACCACCCACAATAAAAATTGATTTCCACCTAAGTCCTATGGGCATGAATGTTTTGTGAGAATGACACGAAAGTCACTGAATTCCAAGATTTTATAAATCGGGTTATCCAAATCTTGAAAAGCCCGTGGAGTTGCAACAAATGGCCGCCGTCAAGTTGAATTGAAGCTTGAATGCTGCTGTTGTATTTAACTAAATGGCCAGAATAGGAAGAAGAGGGAAAACAGATTCTAGAGTCTCACAAAGTTGAAGGAGGCCAATGCCAAAACCGTCAAGAAACCCAATGAGCTACAAACACGCGGTCCACCCATTACCCAAAATACCAGGCGAAAACTAAACTGATGCATAAACAGATCCTCGCCGCCTTCATCGGTGTTACTGACCTGCTGAGAGAGAGAAACCACGGGTTCCGAACTGAAATCAAACCCACCGCAATTATTGGAGACGCGAAATGCAATTCTTTCTTCACGTACAAGTTCAGAAATTGGACCTCGGATCTGAACTGAGCTTCAAATAAAAAAAATATCACCAGAATGTTTACTGTGCAAGCCCAAACTGATGAAGATGCGAACTGATGAATCTGTTGACCAAAACCCCGTCGACCCAGAAAAGAAAAAATATAAACGAAAACAAAAACTCAAGATTGGGCAATTAAATTGACAGAACGAACGAAAACTCTATCAAGACCGGGCGGGAGGAGCAAAAGAAAGCTCCTCCCGCCGTGAGAAAACCTTATCAAGAAAACAAGAGAAAATTTTAAGGAATTGGCTCTGATACCATGTCAAGATTTATAAATTGTATTATTATGGTCTTGTAAATATTACAATGTAGAAGACCCTATTTATAGGGTTACAAATAACTGTAGAAGGAAATAAAGATAAAAGGAAAGATTACATAATCAACTACTAAGGAAAGTAAACCTACACTAAAAGGAAAGTAAATATAATCTCAATTTTTGACGATCTCTGTAATCTTATTCAATATCCTTGACAAGCACAACATGTTAGCAGTCAACACATGCATAAATAAACTAGCCACTAAAATTCAATGACCGCTTAGATAACTTAACCAAAAAATACTCTCTGAATTAAATGAAGAAAAACAGAAGCATGCCTGAGAAAGATCCAAAGAACCAGCAAGTGGAGTTGGTTTGTCACTGATATTGTATCCTAGTAATATCCACTAGATTTAAGATTACATTACTCGAGATAAAAGATCCATGTCATTAAACTGAAAATTTGGTGATCATTTCTGGGAAACAGGAAAGAAATCGCACAATAGCCAAATAGCACATAGAACTTTAACCCCTCAAAAAACTTGGCATTTGTAAGAAACAGCAAGAGATACAGAGTGGCCAAACATATTCCCTTTTGATGTTAAATCACAGCAAAATGAAGCATGCAAAGTAACAAAATGCATCACTCGTACAACTCCTGGAGCTCATTCTTGAACCTGTTCTTCAATTGCTCCCTTTTTAATTTGAGAGCTGCAGTAACCAATCCAGATTCAGGTGTCCACAGTTCTGGCAACAGCTTGATCTTTGCGGGCATTTCAAATTTATCCAGTTTCGCAGCTTTTGCTTCCTGCAGATTGCCAGTCACATAAGTTTCTACATGAAATAAAAGACAGCAGTCACTTATTGTCTTCCTACTTCCTAACATTGTTTTACTTCACTTTCACCATATTAGAGATAATAAAAACACAAAAAGGAATTCCAAAGGATAGAAATTTATATCCTGAATCCACTATTTTTCACCTGATTCTAAACATTATGGGAATGTATCAAATATATTGATTTCACTCTTTCGTATGAACAACTTTAACACTGAATCTGTCTATAATAGTAGGAAATGGATAAACCTTGGAAAGTGACTGTTGAACTTCCTTAATAGCTTCCGGTTTATCACACAACTCAGAAAAATCTTTGTACTTGATTCCAGCTTCTTGGGCCCATCGCTCGAGGACCTGATGTGAAGGGACAACCAGGCCTACACAGAAGTTGTGGAAAGGGTCTGCATATATCATTATGTTTTCTACATAATTGCTGGACATAAGTGCAGCCTCAACCTGTAATTAAGCATCAATTCATTAAGCGATCTCAAATTTATTCATGCATATTTATGATGGGAAGGTGCGAGTGGCCATAGACGAACTCATCAAAATAATCGAAAGTAAGTAGGATATAGACCCAGAAAATCTATGAAAATTTAGAACTTCTCATTATCATTTGATTCATGAAAAGTGAAGGAACTCATCAATATAATCGAAAGTATGAAAACAGAGTGCATATTTTGATTAATAGACTAAAAAGAGCTGTATTTCTGCTCACAATTAATTATCTTAATTGAGAAATATATGTTATCTCTACAATTAAGAACTAAGAACCTGCCAGAGGGGGTATAATCGAGATATGTCTGATCAAGGTAGATAAATGAAAAGTTGCATAGAATAAAAACCTTTCCAAGTGAGATGTACTCCCCATGTTGCAGCTTCACAATGTCTTTCTTCCTATCAATGATCTCAAGGCACCCATCAGCATGAAACTTTCCAATATCTCCAGTGTAGAACCAATGCATGCCCGTCTCATCAACCAGTATTGCGGATGTAGCAGTAGCAATAAGCTGCAATCTCAAGATTCCATATCATTAGCATAAACAGGATCTTTCTTCCTATCAATGATCTCAAGGCAGCCATCAGCATGAAACTTACCAATATCTCCGGTGTAGAACCAATGCATGCCCCTCTCATCAACCTGTATTGCGGATGTAGCAGTAGCAATAAGCTGCAATCTCAAGTTTCCATATCATTAGCATAAACAGGCTCGTACCTTATACACCTCTTTAGTTTTGGATTCATTATTGAAGTAACCAGCAGTGACACTACACCCTCCAACAAGAACCTCTCCTTGAGGCATTGGCTTGTCAGTTATAGTGTACCCACCTTCTTCCCATGAAATAAGCTGCAACAGTGAAATCAAGACTTCACAATAAAAAAGCAGGCAATCAAGAAATCAAGTGCCAACCATATTACAATTTCTGAAAAGACTAGAGTTGTATTCTGACAAAACAAACCTTCCACTAATATAGTTTTCAATCCAATACAGCACGACAGAACAAAACTTGTTAATGTAGGCCATCACTTTAACAAGGAGAACTTAAATAAAGGTGTAATATATATGCCATTTGTATCTATTGTCAAGCAATCGCCCGCAATACTCACAAGGGTCTTTCTATACGGTCCTCTGAAAAATCGACAGGCAAGCTAGAAATAATCTACATCTTTGAACCGGGTNAGTTATAGTGTACCCACCTTCTTCCCATGAAATAAGCTGCAACAGTGAAATCAAGACTTCACAATAAAAAAGCAGGCAATCAAGAAATCAAGTGCCAACCATATTACAATTTCTGAAAAGACGAGTTGATCTGTTATTTTTTTTCTTATGCAGATTGACATAGATTTTGTATCTAAGGATCTGAAATGATAACTCAACTTGTAATCCATGTCCTTTGTTTTGTATGATGTACTCTAGTCACATTTAAGATGTGCAGATGATACATACGTGCTGAATTTCTCATTGAAACATTAAAAAAAAAAAAAAAAAAACTAGTTCTCTTGAAATTCCACCATGTCATCCGTTATCAACCTCGGGATACTGTACATCTTGGAGGTAATCTAGTGACTTGGAGGATTAAAAAGCAAATAGTTGTGCAGAGGCCGAGTTTAGAACAATTGCTCAAGGTGTTTGTGAACTGTTGTGATTAAATTGCTGCTAAAACCATTGCCTGCTTCCATGAAGTTGTATTCTGACAAAACAAACCTTCCACTAATATAGTTTTCAATCCAATACAGCACAACAGAACAAAACTTGTTAATGTAGGCCATCACTTTAACAAGGAGAACTTAAATAAAGGTGTAATATATATGCCATTTGTTTCTATTGTCAAGCAATCGGCAGCAATTCTCACAAGGGTCTTTCTATACGGTCCTCTGAAAAATCGACAGGCAAGCTAGAAATAATCTACATCTTTGAACCGGGTCGAGGAAGAACGTGAACTAATCCAAATTATTTAATTATTACATTTTGTAGATAGTATCTATTTCTGTTACAACATATTGAAGCTTTATTTTAAAGGATTTAAGTTCTGTATATCACTTTTCAATTTCTATTGATTTCGATTGTATACTTATAAGGGTCTTTCCTCATAAATGGAAAACATACATGAATTACTCTCTCTACGTGATTGCAATTCGATGACATATCACAAGGTGCAAACAAAATCCATTTCAACGCTTCCAAGTATATAGTCAGGCGAACCTAATAATTTCTTGACAAGAGGAAGTATCATACCTTGATATAGCTACAAGGAAGAGGAGGACCAACACGCCCAACAGATGCGTCATCTGACTCAGAGAAAGCAGCACCAGCACATGTTTCTGTCAGGCCATATCCTTGACCAATAGGGGCCCTGCAGAACATGGTACACAAATGTAAAAGCCATTTTATAAATTCATAGATGAACAATATCCTAGACTGAGAAAGAGCAGACTATGGTACACGCTCTAATCACTACTTAGAACTAATTAGGACGTAATTTCATAAAAAATTACCCCATACAGATGTTGATAAATCTTTGTGTATCTCCAGATAAAGGAGCTCCGCCACAAAGCATGAATCGAATTTCTCCTCCAAGAATAGACCGTATCTTTTTAAAAACAATTATATCCCACAATAATGTCTCTAATCCCCATGCCCCAAAACAGCTCCCTCCAATAGCTGCCAGTCGCCGAGAATAGGCGAAGTTGAAAAGCTTCCTAGCAAAACCTCCTTTCTCATCAACCTATGACAGAAAAATGTAAGATACGATAATACTGATACCAAACAATATATTTTGTAATATCAAAAAGGCAAATTTTTGAATAGCCACTAGGAACCTTCTTCAGAACTCCATCTCGAACACGGTCTAGAATAGCTGGAACAGCTGCCATTAGAGTAGGTTGTAATGCAGAAGCATCTCCCTTAGTTCCTTTTTTTATTTTATTGGACGTGTCTGTTAATGTCAATGCTGACCCATATCCAATTGCGGCACCAGCAGTTAACATCACGGTCTGGAGAACCATCATAGACATTAAAACTAAAAGCATCTTTATCATTGACCATGAAAAAGATTCCATTTAATTTTACCTCAGCAGCCAATTCAAATACATGAGCTAGAGGCATGTACGCCAAATAAACATCCCTGCTTCCCAATCGAGGGATCACTGTCATAACTGCAGCTGCAGTGGCCACAATGTTGCCATGAGTTATCATAACACCCTACAAAATCAAGCAGTGAAATATGTAAAGTTAAAGAGAAGCCGACTCAGGATAGTATCGCTGAGTTGAAGTGAGATGACCCAAAAGTAATAGGAAACTGTAATAGATAACTGTCCTAAAGGTTGATCAATGCAGTCCGTCAATTTCACCAATATTACTTTTCTGAAAAAGCATAAAACCTTCTTCAATTTCAATGTCATAAAGGTCACTCCTTCCAAAGGAAATATACTAAAGCATATGCTTCAACGTCCTTATTGTAATGAATGAAAGAAGGTAATCTGATATACTAAAAATGTCTTATTTTAGGTTCTATATATGTAAATTATGATATTTTTCTGCACTTTGAAGCTGGATGACATTTCAGTTAGCAACCTGAATTCGTAATAGCTGACTCTATCAATAACCAAGATCCAACAGGCATACCTCAACATTTCCACCAAAGATGGGATTCTACATATGCATGCAGTAGATGACAATCAATGTGTATGTCTATGCATGAAATGAGAAGCCCAGTCAAACCTTTGGAAGGCCTGTGCTGCCACTTGTATACATGATGACAGCAATATCTGTCTTGATTGGAAGCCTAGGTTGAACAGAACTATCTCTACCAAGTTTCTCCACTTCTGAAAAAGAGGAAATTCTCCAATTGTCGATATCTTGGTTAACACTGGAACCACTTGAAGTTTCTTCATCATCAAAATATATGACATTTCTGATAGTTTTCAGGCTTGAACTTATAGCAGCCAACTTCTTCAATTGCTTAGAATCACAAATCAGGGTTGGCACTTGAGTCTGTCAAATATTTGAGACAAAAAATTGTATTCAATATCAAAGTCGTTATGGCCTACACTATTTTGAAAAAAAAGGAACAGTAGACAAATATATTAAAAAATGGAAAACAAAAGAAAGTTTAAGATTTTTGACAAATAAACAAAAAAAAAGTTTTTTCCTTTGGGGTTTCATTTATTCACTATGTTCACCTCATTTAGCGAGTGTATTAGGGCATCATCTCCTAAAGAAACATATATGGTGACAACAGTGATATTTTGACGGAAGCAGCCCTGAAATCAAGGAGCAAGTAAAAGCAACGTCATTCATTTGAAACAACTAAAACCGAAAGGATGAGAAGTTGGGTAATCCGAACGAATATTTTCAAGGTCACCTGGAATGCAATCAACCATTCTGGCCGAGTATCGGCAAAAATGGCAGCACGGGTATCCACATCATGACCTAGGTTAACAATACCAGAAGCAAAGTTGCAAGCACGATCAAATACTCCTCCGTAAGTTTCCCACTGGTACTCACCCAAGTGAAGCTTTTCAAATTTCCTCCCATCGTTAGCTGTAACAGACTCCTTACTAGTTACTTTTCTCATCCCAATACACCTTTCCTGTGAATGTTTCTTACAAGACTGCTCAAATAAAGCAGCCATAGTCGTGGCTCCTTCCCAAGGAACCTCAACTAATTTTACTGACCTAGCATTGCGCATTGCCAAACCAGCCTCACCACCAACTTGAACTGGAACTCCTCTCTGTTTTGATTTTCTTTTTCCCATTAGTACGGAAAGAAGTATGGGTATAAATATGGCAATAGTAACCGCACAAACTATCCCATATGATCCATAATCTTTGAGAATTGAAAAGGAATTACTGTCTCCGAGATTCTCATTCATGTTCGTGCTCAAAGTACTTCTCTCAGAGTCTCCCATCATATATTTGGTATACGACTATACGAGTATATTTTGATAACCAACGTTTCTCTGCAGAGAATGTTTATAAGATACCTAATACACAAAACAAGAACTGGTAACATGAAGAAGGAACAAAATGCAGGCAACAACAGAAAGTAAAACAGTAATGTATCATATGACACCAAAATTACCTGCTATCTATTTACGTTAGAAAAATAGCAGAAACATATCGTGAAACAGAATTAGTACCTCAAACGACCCTAAATATGAAATACAATGTGCATACCTGCACACAGCTTCATGACTCATGAGCATTAAAATTATTTCTGAAGGCCCAATAAACCATACAGATTGTATAGGCTAGTGAAAAACACGAACTTTACAATTACAATGACCTAGATTTAAAAGGCCATGTTGTCATAGAAATCCATAAATCTGACTGCGTATTTCTAATGCTGATTACAAGCATCGTACCAATCTCTATAAATTTAAAGGTCCATCAACCATTTTCTTAATATCATAAAGTCATAACATTGTCCAGGCACACACTTGTGTGGTATTTCTGTCTCTCT